AGAAAAGAATTGTTTTCCTTTAGCAGTGATGTATACTTAAATGTTGCTTTAGAACAAAGCTCAGCACCTCACAGAGAAGCCCTGAGATATGTTTTCCAGATAGGTAGGACATTCTATAGTTGTCATTAATAAAAATATTTTAAACTAAAACATCTGACCAAAGCCATGAATCGCTGCTCCAAATCATTGCATCATATATAGGATGTATTGTTATGATGTGTTTATTTATATATATATATAAGAATTAAGCACCTCTATATGCAAACATTGCTTTGAATCTCCCTTACAAAACACATGTTCAGTTCTATGGTAGGCACATTTTTTTATGACCACTTCAGATGGCTGGGCCTTTGCTATGCATGGAAAAGGCAACACACGAATACAAATAAAATAGTTACAGTTTGTGAATTACATTTGAACTAGGATGGAGGAAATGACCCCTTAGATAAAAGTATTTGTGAAAATGAACCTAACAGTGTAGTACAGTGCATATTGATTTTGTCTCAGATCTCTTTTCTGTTGCGGGAATCAAATGGAAATCTATGCCGCGTCCTTGCTACCATGATTGCCAGAATCCAGGTTGCCCTGGAGACATGATGTCACATTTGCAAAACTGGGATAGAGAGACCTCAGCCACGTCGTCCTCCGGGGACCCGGCTGATGAAATTCTTCTGTAGGTCTCCTTTGACCCCTGGGAACTCGCAGACAAAGAGATCCAGGAAAGTATTTGAAACGTGAGCTGCTACTGTAAATTAAATGCTTACTAATGAAAGATCTGAGGGATCACTTTAGAAAGCAAGCTTCCTATTTCTCTGCATGCCTTTGGGAAACACATAATAAGGCTCTTTAGCAGCGAGGCCACAGGCAGTGTGTATTCAAAGCAAGGAGAGCAGCAAAAGCTCTTCATCTTGTAAAGAAGTGGTGTGATGCTGGATAACAATCAGCAACATCCTGGATACAATACCATATCCAATGAAGACAGTTCTTAAATTCACACACATTTCTAATGAATCATTCCTCTGGAAACGCTGGTTAATATCTGCTGGAAATGGAAAGTAGAACAAGCCGGCTTTACAGGCAGAGCTTGTTGCCACTCTTTGGAGGTAGCAGATCTCTCAGCAGGGCAATACATTATTTACCCTGTTACATAGGGAATTTACTGCCCCTGTCAGTGCACCATCCTGATATATTTTTGCACAAGAGATCTGAGCTCCGAGAGGGCTCATGTGCTCACAGAACAAAAGCCAAACACAGATGACACACACACCACGCTCTGAGCCTCAGGATAGGTAAGTGCAGCTCATCTCTCTCTCTGCATCACCCAGCAGCAAATGGAGCATGCAGTGGAAATGAGGACAGAAATGAGTGAATCTAGGAATATTGACTTGTTTGCCATACAGGCTGGAAATTGGGAGCTCTTGTGGAAACCTCTGTGGGAATGGGTTGGGGATAAAGATGCTGCACTCAGGGAAGGACTTTCAGACACTGCTGCTGAAACTAAAGAAAAAAAAGCCATGTATGCAGAAGACAGCAATAATTGCACTGCCCTGCACAAAATGGAATGTTTTTCCTCCCGTACTATTCAGTGTAGCTTGTTACTCTATTCAGAGGTCTTGTGGGTGATTGTGGATGTTGCCTGACAGAGAGAGAGCAATAGACAAGAGAAAAGCATGAACAAAATCAGACAAGATAAATAGGTGACAAATAAGGCAAATAAGACAAATGGTGTCAAATAAGACCACTTTGCAAATTGTATTACTGCTGGAGAAAGATGGTATCTTTTTGTCATTAAATGGCTATAATTTGGGGGGAATGTGTTGTCATTTTGATACGCTTCTTGTGAATCAAGAAGTGTTCTAATGTTCTGCTGATGGTCTAGTTCCAACTCCTAAGCCTGCTACCTCTCATAAGCACAGTCATCAAATACAGTATCCTCTCTCCAAGGGTTGCCAGTAGTAGACTATCATTAGACCAACTTTAATAGCCACTGATGGGCCTTACCCCTATAAATTCATTTAAGCCCTTTTAAATCTTTAAATCTTTGAAGCCATTATACATTTGAGCTGCACTGTTTTACCAGAATAAGGCCTTTCTCAGAAATGCTTTGACTCACTCCATTCAAAAATATAAATGTGAATGAAGAGAGCCCTGCTTAGAATTTGCAATGAGAACAAATGTTAATTAAACAGCAAGATCTACCAAAAACAGTATTCAGTGTGATCATGTACTTATGCTTTCCTCAGGGCATGCCACCATGATAATTAATAATGTTATTTAATTACCTAATAATAGAGCAGAGACAGATTTAAATTCATGGGCAAGGTTAATAAATAGGATAAGGTAATAAGGTAGGTACAGCTGAACAACTGATGAAAGATTTTAAGAGATTACCAAGATGCAGCAAATCAAAGATGGTCTGTTTTTCTCTTTTATCAAATAACACTGGGGGGAAAAATCCTACAGATTCTCCACTTACAGATGGAAAAAAGCTCAGCCTTTTCTTTTTATCATGCCTTTCCTAAATTTTTCATGTGTTTTATACCAGAATTACAGTGTCTTTTTAGCAACGACTTTTGAAACAAATTCTCTCTACATGTGTTTGAGGACTCAACATTATTACTATTATTATTATCATTATTATTATTACTTTCTTATTGGTCTTGGAGCACCTCAGTAATCCATGTACAAAACACTGCTTCCTGACTTGATAGGTTTACGAGTTAGGTAATTCAGTGCAAAAAAAATGAACAATAACTGTGGTAATGATTCATCTTCTCAGAGCTAAAGCCTTTGGTGTTTCTGCTCATTCTGACATGTTCTCCAGCTTGCATGGTCGTACTGTAACCTGTAAATAGTGTTTTTACAAACAGAACTGCTGTCATTCCTGAGCAGGAA